CTTCCCGTTCTAAAATTTTAAAATAATGACTCATTGTATGTTTTCTCTTTGTCGGGTCCTGTGCTAGATATGAGGAATATAAAGTGAAAATAATAATAAAACTTAATGTTTATTTAGTGTTTAAATATGTGCCACAGATTGTACTAACCATTTTACATATAGTATTTTGTTCAATTCTCAAAACATTCCAGTGAGATTAGGCCTATCATCAGCATTACTGGCTTTGTAAAAGGACCATTTCTTTGTCCTCTTTCTGCTTTCCCAGATTGGGTTCCTGCTCTTCACAGGTTGCCCTTCTGAGCAGCAGCATAAGGGAATCATTGCAGGTGCTCTGTCAGGAATAACGCTGCTGTGGAAGCCACTAGACTATTAGCTATTAGATGGGGTGACTTAAGACATGTAAGTAGAGGCAGATTTTTTTTTTCTTTAAAAAAAAATTTTGCCCCATCGCAAGACTTACTACCTATCTCCAGTTATTAGGACATGGTGGTATTATCTCAGGGCTAGACAGATAGGCCCAATGGAACAGAAGAGTAGAGAAACAAATGCATATATCTCTGGGTACTTGTTCCATGACATAGGTGGCCCTGTAAAGCAATGTGGCTGAGTCCTTTTGGCTGGATGATCATGTGAAAACAAAGAATGACTGTTGACCCTATTTCACACTGCACACAGGAAATCACTTAAAGGTGGACTGTAGATCTAAATGTAATTGTTAACATAATAAAACTGATAGGAGGTAAAATACAAGGATAGCTCCATGATCTGAAGGTAGGCAAAGATTTCTTACACAGGAACAAAAATCACTATAATGATAAAAAATGAATATATTGGACTACATTAAAAATAAGAACTTTAAAAAAAAGAATAAAAAATAAGAACTTGAGGCCTATTGTGGTAACTTACTCCTGTAATCCCAGTGCTGTGGGAGGCTGAGATGGAAGGATTGCTTGGGGCCAGGAGTTCAAGATCTGCCTGGGCAGCAGAGTGAGACCCCTCCAATCTCTACAAAAAAAATTTAAAAATTAGCCAGGCATGGTAATGTGCACTGTAGTCCCAGCTACTTGGGAGGCTGAGGCACGAGGATCACTTGAGACCAGGAGTTCCAGGCTGCAGTGAGCTACAGTTGCGCCACTGCACTCCAACCTGGGCAATACAGTGAGACCCTGTCCTTAAAAAAATCTGAGCTTCATCAGTGACAAGTTAAACCAAAAAAAAAAAAAAAAAAAGAAAGAAAGAAAGAAAGAAAGGAAATAAATACAAATAGAAAAAGAACTTCTTATCAAAATATACCATCATAAAGTCAAAAAGGTACTGGAAGCTGTGGCTTCTGCCTGTAATCTGAATATTTTGGGAGGCTGAGGCTGGTGGATCACTTGAACCCAGGAGTTTGAGAACAGCCTAGGCAACATGGAAAGACCATGTCTCTATTAAAAAAAAAAAAAAAAATATATATATATATATATATATATATATACAAAAATTAGTTAGATATAATGGCTCATGACTGTAATCCCAGCTACTCGGGAGGTTGAGGTGTGAGGATCACTTGAACCTAGGAGGTCGAGGCTGCAGTAAGGTGTGATTGGGCCACTGAACTCCAGCCTGGGCAACAGAGTAAGATTCTGGTCTTACAAAAAATTTTTTTTAAAACTAAAAAAAAAATTTTTTTTTTTTTTTTTTTTTTTTTTTTTTGAGACGGAGTTTCGCTCTTGTTACCCCAGGCTGGAGTGCAATGGTGCGATCTCGGCTCACCACAACCTCCGCCTCCTGGGTTCAGGCAATTCTCCTGCCTCAGCCTCCTGAGTAGCTGGGATTACAGGCACACGCCACCATGCCCAGCTAATTTTTTTGTATTTTTAGTAGAGACGGGGTTTCACCGTGTTGACCGGGATGGTCTCGATCTCTTGACCTCGTGATCCACCCGCCTCGGCTTCCCAAAGTGCTGGGATTACAGGCTGAGCCACCGCGCCCGGCCTAAAAAAATTTTTTTTTAAATAAAATAAAAAGAGAAGGTACAGAGAGGGAGAAGATATTTGTAGCACTTACAAAGGATCATGTTTAGAATATATAAAGAGCCTCTGCAAGTCACTACTCACTGCAACCTCTGCCTCACAGGCTCAAGCGATCTTCCTGTCTCAGCCTCCCAAGTTGTGGGACTACAGGTGTACATCACCACGCCTGTCTAATTTTTGTGTTTTTTGCAGAGATGGGGTTTTGCCATGTTGTCCAGGCTGGTCTCGGACTCCTAGGCTCAAGCAATCTACCTCCTCATCCTCCCAAAGTGCAGGGATTATAGGCGTGAGCCACTGTGTCCAGCTGATGCTAATATTTTTGTACGTGCTTCCAGAGATATTTTTAAAATATGCAATCAGGTAATTACACACATGCACACACACATCTATTCTCTTCTAGCTCCCCCATTTCTTTCCATTTTTTTTTTTTGCCTTCAACCTCAGTGACATTTCTAGGGGCTAGGTCCCCCATTTATATGTGTGGCAACATTTTGAACACTTTAGTCTGCAGTTTGCTTTAATCATTTATATTAAAGACCTTTCCAGTGCCTGTACATAATGGAGTGGCTCCTTACTTTTTACAGCTGCATAATTTACTTAATAAGTCTCCCTTTTTTTTGAAACAGGTGCTCACTGTGGCCCAGGCTGGAGTGCAGTTGTATGACCATGGCTCACTGCAGCCTCAACCTCTCAGACTCAAGCCATCATCCGACCACAGCCTCCTGAGTAGCTAGGATTACAGGCACTTGCCATCATGCCCAGCTAATTAAGAAATATTTTTTGAGGCCAGGGCGCGGTGGCTCAAGCCTGTAATCCCAGCACTTTGGGAGGCCGAGGCGGGTGGATCACGAGGTCAAGAGATCGAGACCATCCTGGTCAACATGGTGAAACCCCGTCTCTATTAAAAATACAAAAAAAGTAGCTGGGCATGGTGGCATATGCCTGTAATCCAAGCTACTCAGGATGCTGAGGCAGGAGAATTGCCTGAACCCAGGAGGCGGAGGTTGCGGTGAGCCGAGATCGCACCATTGCACTCCAGCCTGGGTAACAAGAGCGAAACTCCGTTTCAAAAAAAAAAAAAAGACATATTTTTTGTAGAGTCGGGATGTAGCTATGTTGCCAGGGCTGTTCTTGAACCCCTTAGCTCAAGTGATCCTCCTGTGTTGGCCTCCCAAAGTTCTGGGATTACAGGTGTGACCCGCTCCACCCAGCCATAAGTCTCTCTCTTTATGGGCATTTAGGTTAGATTATTTTCAGTTGAGATGCTTTCTTCTTTCTGATCTATGTTGTGTTAAATATCTCCTAGGCTTCCTTGTAACTTTTTTTTTTTTTTAAAGACTGAGTCTCACCTCTTGCCCAGGCTGGAATGCAGTGGTCCAATCTCGACTCACTGCAACCTCCTCCTCCCAGGTTCAAGCATTCTTCTGCCTCAGCCTCCCATGTAGCTGGTATTACAGGTGTGCAGCACTATGCCCAGCTAATTTTTTGTATCTTTAGTAGAGATGAGGTTTCACCATGTTGGCCAGGCTGGTCTCAAACTCCTGACCTCATGATCTGCCCGCCTCAGCCTCCCAGAGTGTGGGAATTACAGGTGTGAGCCACTATGCCAGCCTTCATTTTAACTTTTTACAGCAGCCTACGTAAGTTGTTATGTAGTAAAGCAGTATTTTGTATGACAGAAAAAGAAAGAAATATAATAATCTAGGCCGGGTGTGGTGGCTCATGCCAATAATCCCAGCACTCTGGGAGGCTGAGGTGGGTGGATCACTTGAGGTCAGGAGTTCGAGACCAGCCAGGCCAACATGGAAACCCCATCTTTAAAAGGAAAAAAAAAAGAAATATAATAATCTACCTTTCGGTTCTCAAAAGGAATGCTGTGTAGACAATTGTAGAATTTCGAGCTAGAAGGAGTAGAAGAGAACTAATACTGAGATTCTTTTCCGTTAATTTTTTTCATAATTCTGATAAAACTCAAGATTCTCTCCTCAGAAACATGTACATGTAAAATTTTGCATATAAATTTTGGGGCTTGGCTGGGTGCAGTGGCTCACACTGGTAATCCTAGCACTTTGGGAGGCCAAGGCAGGCAAATCATCTGAGGTCTGGAGTTCAAGACCAGTCTGGCCAACATGGTGAAACCTTGTCTCTACTAAAATTATAAAAATTAGCTGGGCATGGTGGTGGGCACCTGTAATCCCAGCTACTTAGGAGGCTAAGGCAGGAGAATCACTTGAACCTGGGAGGCGGAGATTGCAGAGAGCTGAAACTGTGCCATTGCACTCCAGCCTGGGAGACAAGAGTGAAGCTCTGTCTCAAAAAAAATAAATTGGGGCGCTCATATAACCCTTAATTCATCTATGAGTTAGGAATATTTTAATCCACACCAGGCGTGGTACTTATGCCAGTAATCCTAGTACTTTGGGAGGCTGAGGCGGGTGGATTGCCTGAGCTCAGGAGTTTGAGACTGACCTAAGTAGCATGGTAAAACTTGATCCCTATAAAAAATACAAAAAATTAGCCGGGCGTGGTGGCGGGTGCCTGTAGTCCTAGCTGTTTAGGAGGCCGAGGCATGAGAATTCCTTGAACTGGGGAGGAGGAGGTTGCAGTGAGCCGAGATCACACCACTGCCACTCTAGCCTGAGTGACAGAGTGAGACTGTCTCCAAAAAAAAAAAAAAAAAGAATATTTTAATCTGACACAACCCTATCAGTTGATGAATAGTAATAGAAGGCCAGATATGGGAAGTGAATCTCAAAACAAGGAAATAGCAGAAGACAGTCACATGTATTCATGTTCCAGTTGTACATGTATTCAAATAATGACAGCAATATTCTCTCTCCTTGCATTGGCTGATGTCACAGTTCAGACTCGTGAGGGAAGTTGCCCATTCCTTCACAGGAGAACTTCAGTTTGTACCTAGGGTAACCCGAGAGCAAAACGTGAACAGATTTATTAGAAAGATTGACTTTTAAAAATATCAAGAGGGGAGATATCCCAGAGTTCAGCGCGGCGCCAGCCCTTCCGCCACAGTCGCCATTGTAGAGGAGCAGCCATGGCTCTTCGGTATCCTATGGCCGTGGGCCTCAACAAGGGCCACAAGGTAACCAAGAACGTGAGCAAGCCCAGGCACAGCCGCCACCGCGGGCGTCTGACCAAACACACCAAGTTCGTGCGGGACATGATCCCGGAGGTGTGTGGCTTTGCCCCATACGAGCGGCGTGCCATGGAGTTGCTGAAGGTCTCCAAGGACAAACGGGCCCTCAAGTTCATCAAGAAAAGGGTGGGGACACACATCCGGGCCAAGAGGAAGCGGGAGGAGCTGAGCAACGTCCTGGCTGCCATGCGGAAAGCTGCTGCCAAGAAAGACTAAGCCCGTCCCCTGCTGTCTCCTGAAATAAACAGCTGCGCCCAAAAAAAAAAAAAAAAAAAAAAAAATCAAGAGGGCCAGGCACGGTGGCTCACACCTATAATCCCAGAACTTTGGGAGGCCGAGACGGGTGGATCACGAGGTCAAGAGATCGAGACCATCCTGGTCAACATGGTGAAACCCCGTCTCTACTAAAAATACAAAAATTAGCTGGGCATGGTGGTGCACACCTGTAGTCCCAGCTACTCGGGAGGCTGAGGCAGGAGAATTGCTTGAACCCAGGAGGCGGAGGTTGCGGTGAACCGAGATTGCACCATTGCACTCCAGCCTGGGTAACAAGAGCGAAACTCCATCTCAAAAAGAAAAAAAAAATATCAAGATAGTATTATTAGAATTTTTCGTGTGACACGTTGATTTATTTTCTCTTTTTGTTTTCTCTTTAGCCCAAGAAGAAAAGAGGAAAAGTGGAAATGAGACCCATTAATTTGGGGACAGATTATGAATATGGGGTTTTAAACATTCATCTGACTGCATATGACATGACCCAGGCAGAAAGTTATGCCCAGTATGTTCACAACCTCTGCAACTCTCTCTCCATTAAAGTCGAAGAAAGGTATGAAGGATGCTTTTGTATGGGATGTTCTTGGTGTGGGTCGAATGCTCTGCTTTTTTGTTAAACTAGGCTTTTGAGATATAGTTAAATGTAGTAAAATTAACTCCTTTTAGGTATATAATTTGACACAATAAAAATATAGAATAGTGCTATTAACCTGAAAAGTTCCTTGGTGCCCTGGTGTAGTCAGTTTTCTTCCTCTTCCCCACTCAAGTCCCTGGCAACCACTCACCAATTTTCTGCTCTTAATGTTTTAACTTCTCCAGAATTTCACATAAATGAAATCACACAGTATGTAGCTGTTTGTGGCTGGCCTCTTTCACCAAGCATAATGTGTCTGACATTCATCCATGTTTTTGCAAGTTGTTTTTTTTTTTTTTTTTAAATTGTGGTAAAATACACATAACATAAAGTTACCATCTTAACTACTTTTAACTGTACAGTTTAGTGATATCAAATGCATTCATAATGTTATACAAACATCACCACCATCCATCTCCATAATGCTTTTCATCTTATAAAAATGAAACTCTGGCTGGGTGCAGTGGCTCACACCTGTAATCCCAGCACTTTGAGAGGCTAAGGTGGGAGGATCACTTGAGCCCAGGAGTCTGAGACCTGCCTGGGCAACATAGTGAGACCTTGTCTCTACAAATAACAAAATTAGCTGGGCATGGTGGCATGTGCCTGTAGTCCCACTTACTCAGGGGGGTGTGGTGGGAGGATAGCTTGAGTCCAGGAGGTGGAGACTCTGCAGTGAGCCATGTTCTTGCCACTGCACTCCAGCCTGGGCGACAGAGACTGAGGGAATATATTCTCTTCCCAGGTCCACAGGGGGCATAGTTTCTAGGGCAGGAACTTCCCAGCGACATGCCCCACCTGCCTTCCCCCAGGTCTCCACCTGGGAGACTTAACCGTCTTTGTTTAACTTTGGCACACGGGAAAGGATCAAAGATCAGTTACTCCAGCGGAAGTTTAAAGGAACTCTTTTCATTGGCCAGGGGGCTTGGAGAAGGTGGAAATTCCTCCCAGGTTAAAAGTTCCCTTCTTCCACACCTCCTTGGATTCCATACTTGGGTCTCCTTCCACTACCTTCGTGAAAGCTGATTTCTCTCTCCTGGATTCCATCTTTCTGTATTCTCTTACTCAGTGTGAGAGGAGTTTCCTTCCCTGATTTTCCCCCTGGGAACCCTTCTCACTCAGTGTAAGAGCGGCTTTTCTTTCTCCTCACTCAGTGTAAAAGCTAGCTGTTTCTCTCTACCCCTTCTCCTTTTTTCTCTTTCTCTCTGCTTAAATAAATCACTTTATGCAAAAAACTTTTTGGGTCCGGTATTTACTCCAAGGTGCTCACCTTCACTGGCAGGTTGTCCCCTTTCCCATTCTTGGGTAAGTGAAGGACAAGAACCTGGGGCGAACCTGATCGGAAAGAGAATAGGGCCAGTGTCCCTTTCCCTCCAAGACCCCGTATCAATATTTAATAAAACAGGGCAGGTACGTTTGGCTCACGCCTGTAATTCCAGCACTTTGTGAGACAGAGGCAGGTGGATCACCAGAGTTCAGGAGTTAGAGACTAGTCTGGCTAATATGGCAAAACCCCATTTTTACTAAAAATGCCAAAATTAGCTGGGTTCAATGGCATGTGCCTGTAGTCCCAGTTATTTGGGAGGCCGAAGCAGGAGAATCAGTTGGACCCAGGAAGTCGAGGTTGCCATGAACTGAGATTGTGCCACTGCACTCCAGCCTGGGCAACAGAGCAAGACTCAGATCTCCAGATAAATAAATAAATAAATAAATAAATAATTAAACACTGAAACTTTGTACCCATTAAACAGTAACTGCCCATTTCTTCCTCCCCTAAGTTCCTGGCAACTACCTTTCTACTTCTGTCTCTGATTTTGACTACTCTTCCTCATATAAGTGGAATCATATAGTATTTGTCCTTTGGTGACTGGCTTCCTTCATTTAGCATAATATCCTCAAAGGTCATCCATGTGGTAGCATGTATCAGAATGTCCTTTCTTTTTCTTTTTTTGAGACGGAGTCTCGCTCTGTCACCCAGGCTGGAGTGCAGTGGTACGATCTCGGCTCCCTGCAACCTCTGCCTCTTCGGTTTCATCATGTTGGCCAGGCTAGTCTTTTAACTCTTGCCTCAAGTGATTCTCCTGCCTCAACCTCCCGAGTAGCTGGAATTAGTTGTGCGCCACCACACCTGGCTAATTTTTGTATTTTTAGTAGAGATGGGGTTTCACCAACCACATTGGTCAGGCTGGTGTTGACCTCCTGACCTCAAGTGATCCGCCTGCCTTGGCCTCCCAAAGTGCTGGGATTACAGGTATGAGCCACCGCACCCACCTCCTTTCTTTTTCTTTTTTCTTTTAGAGACATGGTCTCTCCCACCCAGGCTGGTATGTAGTGGTGCGATCATTGCTTATTGCAGCCTCTACCTCCTGGACTCACAAGATCCTCCTCTCTCCCAAATAGCTGGGACTACAAGCACACACCCACTCCCCAAGCTGATTTTTTTCCCCCTGATATGACCTAGTCTTCTGAATGCCTGGCTAATTTTTACATTTTTTGTAGAGATGGGGCCTCACTTTGTTGCCCAAGCTTCCTTCCTTTTTTTTTTTTTTTGGTTTCTGTCACCTAGGCTGGAGTGTAGTGACAAGATCTTGGCTCACTACAATCTCTGTCTCCCTCCAATCTTGCCTCCAATTTCTGGATTGCATAGTAAGTTTATGTTTAACTTTGTAAGAAACTGCCAAACTGTTTTCAAAACGGCTGCACCATTGTGTATTCCCACCAACAATGTTTGAGGGTTCTGGCAACTTTTCATCCTGGACAGCAGTTGGTATCATCAGTTTTTTAAAAGCTATTACTAGGTTTATGGTGGTATCTCATAGTGGTGTAAATTTTCATTTCACTAATAAATAATTATGTTGAGCATCTTTTCATGGGCTTATTTGTTATCTGTGTATCTTCCTTGATGAGATGTCTCTTCAAATCTTTTGTCTATTTAAAAAAAAATGGCTTGGGCCAGGTGTGGTGGCTCACGTCTGTAATCCCAGCACTTTGGGAGGTTGAGGCGGGCGGATCACAAGGTCAGGAGTTTGAGACCAGCCTGACCAACATAGTGAAACCCTCTACTAAAAATACAAAAATTAGCCAGAGGTGTTAGCATGCGCTGGCAATCACAGCTACTTGGGAGGCTGAGGCAAGAGAATTGTTTGAAACCGGGAGGTGGAGGTTGCAGTGAGCCAAGATCACGCCATTGCATTGCAGCCTGGGTGACAGAACAAGACTCCGTCTCAAAAAACAAACAAAAGGCTTGTTTCCCTATTGGGGTTTGAAAATTTTTCATCTACTTTTGGATGCCAGTCTTTTTTTTTTTTTTCAGACAGAATTGCACTCTGTCACCAGGCTGGAGTGCACTGGCACAATCTTGGCTCACTGCAACCTCCGCCTCTCAGGTTCAAGCAATTCTTCTACCTCAGCCTCTGGAGTAGCTGGGACTACAAGTCTCTGCAACCATGTCCCACTAATTTTTGTATTTTTATTAGAGATGGGATTTTACCATGCTGACCAGGCTGGTCTCAAACTCCTTTCCTGACCTCAAATGATCCACCCACCTTGGCTTCCCAAAGTGCTGGAATTACAGGTGTGAATCACTGCACCTGGCCACCGGTTACTTTTCAGATATGTGTTTTGCAAATATTTTCTTCCTGTCTGTGACTTATCTTCTTGTCCTCTTAACAGTGTGTCTTTTGAAGAGCAGAAGTTAAGCTAGATGAAGTTCAGTTCATCAATTTTTTTCTCTTATGGTTTCTGCTTTTGCTTTTATATCTAAGAAATCTTTGCCTGACCCAGTCATAAAAAACATTCTTCTATGTTTTCTCCTAAAAGTTCTATAGTTTTAAGTATTACATTTAGGTCTGTGATCCATTTGAATAATTTTTGTGTATGAAAATAATTTTTGTGTATGAAAAAGTGTGTCAAAGTTCTTTTTTTTTTGGCATATGAATATTCATTTGTTTCCAGAACCATTTGTTGAAAAGATTTTCTTTCCCCACTGAATTTTCTTAGCACCTTTGTTGACAGCCAGTCAACCATGTATATATATGTGAGTCTATTTCTAGGCCCTATTCTGTTACCTATATGCTTATATCTATACCCACTGTCTTGATTAGTGTAGTTTGATTACTGAAACTCTTTGTTTTTCTTTTTAGAAATATTTTGGCTATTCTAGGTCCTTTGGGTTTTCCATAAACATTTTTAGAATTAGCTTGTTGATTCTACAGAAAAGAGTCTAATGGGATTTTTTTTATAATTGTGTTGAATCTGTAGATCTATTTGGGAAGAGTTGATATCTTAATTGTTTATATTGAGTCTTCTGATCTACTAACAGAGTTTATTTCTCCATTTACAGTATTGAAATAATCTTTGTTTGCTCTGCTTTTA